TTGAGCTTATGTTGACTGTTTGTTTCTTTCAACACTAAAAATGTCATATTATTGCCCTTGAGTATAAATTTCTAGGTTGAGGGTTTTTTTTTTTTTCCTTGCAACACTTTAAAGATGTCATTTCTTGCAAATTTCTTTTTTTAAAAAAAAATATCAACCATTTTCTTTGTGATAAATGTTTGCAACAAAACATTTACCATTTCAACATCCTTCAGTGTGCAAGTTCGTGACATTAATTGAATTCACCGTGCTATGTCCCCATGAGAAGTCTGCTGTACACCCTGTTTTGTTACTACATATGTAACATGCATTTTTTTTAACTGACTGATATGAAAAATTTTCCTTTTAGCACTTTTTTCTTCTTTCAAATTAATTATGTGTTCTGTGTGATTATTTTCGTTGAGATTTTTTTGAGCTTCATGAATCTGGGGTTTATATTTTTCATTATATTTGAAACATTTCAGTCATTATTTCTTCAAGTATGTCTTTTTTGCCTGCAACTCTCTTCTGTCCTTTTGAGGCTTCAGTTGCCCTTTCAATACCTCTTACCAATACTATTCAGGTAACTGAGTTTGTTCATTGCTCTCAGTTTTTTGTACATATTTTTTCCTCTCTCTGTGCCTCATATGGCTTTTTTCAGCTTCTATGTTTTTAAGTTTACTTCTATATTCTTAACATGGAGTTAATCCAATTCATTAAAATAATCTTTTTAGATAGTTTCTTTTTCATCTCTAGAAGTTCCATTTTGTTCTTTGTTTTATACCATCCATTTAATACCTTCTCATTATATTTATGTTTCCTTTTCAGTCTTTCAACATATGTGTAGAGTAGATGCGTTAACATCTTTAACTGTTAATTCCATAATCGATGTAATTTCTAGGAATGTTTCCATTGATTGATTTTTCTCCTGGTAAAATGCCATGTTTTTCCACTTTGTTTTATATCTGAAAAAATTCTACCAGATGCTGGACATTGTGTACATTAAGATATAGAGTGATACACACACACACACACACACACATATATATATATGTATGTATGTATGTGTGTATATATATATATATATATATACACATACATACATACACACATAATTCCCTTAAGAAGTGTTAGACTTTGTTCTGGCAATCAGTAAGTAATTTGAAGATCAGTTTGTTCCATTACAGACTTGTTTTTAATCTTTTTCGGGCCAGTCTAGAATAGTCATTTTTCTAGGAATAGTTTGGCCTCATTATTAGGCTGTGACCCTTCTGGTGTCTCTACTGATTTCCTTGTGGATACAACAAGATCTCTGCACTATGGCTGGTGAAAACCGGAACAACTCCTGGCCCTATGCAATCTTTGGGAATAGTCTGACATCTAGCTTCCCAGTCATTGTTCTTTTTTTTGAACTTTTAGAATCCATCCCCATTCATGTGCAGACTACGATTCAGTAAAATACTCAACGAATTCCTACCCTGATTTCTTGAACCATTTTTCTACATAAGTTCTTCCTCTCCCTTACCCTGTCCTTCAAGTTCCAGCTGCCTTGATCTTCCCCAACCCTGCTATTTATCTTCTCAGCTTCACAAAATTGCCAAACTCTGTTT